AGTATCAGTGAGACCGTCCATGATGACTCTTAAAATACCGAGAGTTTTAAGTATGGTTTTTCACAGGGAAAAGTTTAACAAAATGCTGATATGGGTATTATAATACACAAACATTGATTGCTTAGGACAGCGAGCCTTGTGGCAAGGTCAGATAGTTCTCTGCTTTTAGTTTGTATCTGGCAGCCCTTTGGAATAAAATGTACATAAATATGCTGTGTATGCCTTTCTCTTGATGTAGATATTGTTTGCAAGAGAATCTTTGAAAGGAAAGGGGACAGTTTAGATAATTTGAAACTTGGTTGCTGATGAGGCTACAGACAGCATGGGAAGTTTCAGGGTAGCTCAGCGTCTCATCCGTTGTTAATCAATGAAATGAAACTGGAGTCGCTAGAACATACCAGTGACTGAGTGGTCGGTGGGTGGAAAACACTCGGTGAAGGCGGGAGTCAGCCAGCAGAATGGATGCCGTCACAGATAAAGAGCAGGGAAATGTATTCTTTGACAGATGGAGGAGTTTCTGGAAGTTTGGAACATTTCAAGCCAGACTGAGCATTAAATGATGTTCCAATTTCATTGAAAACTATTAAATATTTCAAAGTTTGGCTATTAGTGTTTGTACTAGTTGAAATATTAGTTGAAAATACCCAACAAAAGTATGTTTATTTAGCAACAAAGTCTTACTATGTAGCCTTGGTTGGATGGAACTTGCTGTGTTGACCTAGCTGGCCTGAACTCAGCCGCCTGCTTCTGCCCCTGTGCTGGCATGTATTAAAGGTGTGCACCACCTCGCAGGGCTTCTCTGGTTTTATAGAGCATTTTACCATGTATTGTTGGTTTGGCGTTTTTGTTTTGAGGTTGAATAGTGGTTTCTGTCATTTAATTCCTTGCCATGGAATTTTCTAGAACCAACCATACTTTTGAGGTGCATTGAAGTTAAAGTGACTTAGGGTCCCTGTACTAATTAATGGTACAGCTGGACCCTGAACAGCTAGGCTGACTGACTTAATATGATTGAAAGTTGTTTTTGGAGGATGCAGAAGTGTGTCCCTCTGAAAGACAGCCTGTGGAAGCTAAGACAAAGCTTTTGCTTAACTGTCAGCTTGTGAATCTGATCATGAACAAACCATGGTGTCTTGATGTTTTAGCTAGTTACTTGTGAACTTTATTATGGATTCCATGTGAGTTGTTGTACATGACTATCCCCTAAGCCATGTTGCCACTATCTTCAGAAGTTTATTGGGTCACTTTGCCAAAGATCATCTTAGCTGGGCTTCTTGATGGTTGACATTCCCTTGTAGAAGTAGGGGGTAGGCAGGGTCATGGGACCTTCTTTTGAGTATCCCTCTACCCCTTACAAGCAGTTCACACAATTCTGTTTTAATTGCTTGTGGCTTCTGGGTCCTGGGAAGGGCTAGAGTATATAGTTTGAGAACTAGGGGAAGGGATATGAGGGGAGTATTCCATCATACAAACCTTCCAGTGTGGCTGCCTTAGGGTCCATAACCCCTCACCCATTGCTTTGTAAGAAAGCCTAATAATAGACATCGTTTACATCTCCCCCAACAGTTGTATTTAGTAAGTCTCTTATCTCTGGTCATATTAGATATACTTCTCTTTCTTCTCTCTTAGTGAAACTTCTGCGACACATATTACACACACACAGAGACACACCCTTACACCCTCTCTTTGGGGAAAATAAGACTTTTCATCAGTTTGGGGAAGGGCTATACCCACTGTTGGACTCGCTCTGAGAACTAGCCAATGAGAGTTGTAAGCTTGGAACACCATAGGTAACAGTAAGGCTGTCCCTACACACAAGTTAGAGGATTTACGAAGTAAACTCATTCCATAGCTCAGCTAATTACCACAGAATGTAATTCTGAGCCTCTGTGTTCTTGTATGCAAATAGGAATAGTGATGACATTTATTTCATAGCATATGATAAAGATTAAGACAATACCTGTAGAGCTAAGCATGTAGGCCACACCTGTAATCTCAGTACTGCTTGTCATAGTTTTTGTTCTGTATATTCTGTTGTTATTTTTCAGTCTGATTATTTACAAATTTAAAGTGTAAGTCAAGAGGTGGTTTTTGGATTTTCATTCTCTAAAAATATTTTACTGGAATGTGGTTTTGTTGTCTTAAATGACTGAAGTAGGATGCTTAAGAGAAATCCTACACTAGCTCAGAATTGAGAATAATAGATGGTTGTTTGTTTAGGGGTAGACTCACAAATCAGAATCCTCTTCTGGACCAGAGAACAGCAACCGAATTCTGCAGCCAGAAAAGAGGCCAGCTTTACATCAGCATAAATAGTGTAAGAGGCTACTCCCCAGTGGCCGGGTAACTTAGAGGCTACTGGCTGTAGGATTTCCTACAGCAAATGACAGACTTCCTATGAACTGTCTTGGAGCCAGAGATTACTCCAAAACAATTCTTAGGTTAAACAACAACATATAGATAGTAAAATTTTATCATACAATTAATTATAATCAAAATAGTGCCTGCCTGTCAGTTGGCATAAACTGAAGAAAGGAAAGTGACAGCCTTTACTGTGCTGCTGTAGACCCACCCGCAGGGCCCTACCTTACAGAAATCCATCTAAACAGTGGACAGCATGGCCCGTGCTGCCTGCCTCGGAGACCATTCGCGGCTACACTTAGATGGAGGCAGTTCCAGCCTAGCGTTTACTTGTATAGAATGCCACCATCGGCTAAAGATTTTAGAGGGATTTCCATGCTTAAATCAGTTTGGAAAAGCTTATTTGTCTTAAGTAAATTAAGACATTTTCTTTGGAGGTAATATGTTTGGAGTCCTTATTGTGCTATAGGAGCTGTGACTCTCTCAGGGAGATACGTGCAGTGTTTTACTTTCTGGACAAGTCCTGTCTGTCAGCTTCTTTCAGGACGCCAGTGCTCTGACATACCCTGGGGAAATGTAACCTTAGATTCTAAGGCTTAGAGGCTCTGCCTTCTCACTGTGTGTCTTAGGCAGATCCTAAGGAGGTGCCAGGGTCGAGGATGGTTGCTGTCGTGGAGTAATAACCACGGATACCTGCTTGAGTGCTTGCTGTGTGCCACACGCAATACTGCAAGTGAGCTAAGTTAATACTTTTAGATGAGGAAACTCGGAGTTGGATTCAGTAACCTTAACCACATCAGACATCTAGAATGTGCTGGGCCTGGAGTGAACCTGAGTTTAGGGGCTCGTATTCTTGCTTTCCCTGCTGTGTGTGTGTGTATGGTGCAGGGCAGATCTGAGGGTTCATTGTACAGAGTAATTTGAATTTCTGCAGCCAATCTGATCTGATCCACCAGTTTAGTTTAAGACCTTTCAATTTCTCATGTGTAAGAATAGCTTTAAAATTACAGTTACTTAGACTGGAGATAGGAATGTTGACTTATTTTTGCTATGGCTTAATTGCTTTGCAAATTCTGTTGTCTCTCACTGGTCCTGGACCCTGGACCCTGGATTGCACATAAGTAGAAACAGGGTCCAGCTGGATTATGCTTGAGCTGAGCAAGTATTTCCCATAATTCTAATCTTCAAGGTTCCTGAGTTGAGATATTAAGAAGTAAGGGTTTGGGTAGTAAGGAATTTATCAGAAACAGTTTGGTTCCTGTGTTTTAATTTGGATAGGAGTGTTTACTTAAATTGGAAACCCCTGTGAAGACCTTGCTCACATTTGCCCTCTTCAGAGGAGTCCACGGATTTTTCTCTTTTGAACTGTGGCCAGACTCTGACACTTCATGAAGGCCATAGGCAGTTCATTAGAAATAGACACCTGGGACCACAGCACCGGCACTGGTGAGGTGGCCTAGTGGGGTAAGGCTTTGCTGGCAAACCTGATAACCCGAGTCCCATTCCCGGAGCTCACGTGGTAGAAAAAGAGAACTGACTCCAGCAAGCTGTCCTCTGGCCTTCGTACCATCCCCCTAAACACACACACACACACTGACACATACACACACACTCACACACATACACTGACACACACTGACACACACACACACTCACTAAATAAATATGTTTTTTTTTTTTTTAAAAAAACCTGGCGGGGGGATGAGGGACAACCCCAAGTTCTAAATCTGAACCCAGGACTCTTGCCACGGGAATTCATATACTATAGATGATCTAGGCTCTGTCAACATTTGTTTTAGTGCTTAGGAAAATGAACAGTAGTGATGATGGAGCCTTGACTGCCTGCAGAACTGTAATGACTTGTTATAAAGATAAGTTTTAAGGTTAAGAAAACTGTCCAGGCAAGGGTGACCCAGGTTGGAGGAGAGGAGCTCAGGGCCATCCGCAGCCACATCCTGACTGACTGAAGCAAACAGGCTTACTCACAACCTTGTCTGTTTTGTTTGTTTTTTGAGATGGGGTTTCTCTGTGTAGCCTGGGATGATCTGGAACTCACTCTATAGACCATTCTGGTCTCAAACTCAACAGAGATCCGTCTGCCTCTCCCTTCCCCCAGTGCTGGATAAAAGGCGGGTGCCACCACTGCCTGGCTCATGACCTTGTCTTATCCCACCACCACTACTACCCAGAATCCTGGAAGAATTTACAGCATTATTTTTACTCTAAACGAGTAACACTCAATTTATCACTTTTTAAAATACCCATTTGTTTGCTATTGTGAATAATTATTTTTGACTTCTTTGCTATTGACTTAAAATCCTTAATGTCCCATAGATAACATTTTTTATGGAGAGAGAGAGGGGATCACATGTCATAGAGTATGTGAGGATTAAGAGACTGTCTAAGGAAGGCAGTGATTATCTTCAGGGCCCTTGGAACTTGCCCGTCCATACTACAGCCTTATAAGCTGGAGTCAGCGCTGGATTCTACACCAGTTTTAGCATCAGCAGCTGTAGGAAGGATGCCCATAGGCAGTGTTACCTGCTTGGGTCTGTTTTAAATGGTTTTAGTCAAGTAGTTCCAGAAGGCTGGTTTATTTTACATTGTACATGGCATAATCATACAATGTTTATTCTTAGGTGGGTTTGCTGAGTTCTCTCGTTGTTTCCCTGGCCTCTGTGAAGGAAAATCCACTCTAGTCCCTACCTGCATATCTCAGCCTTGCTTACCTGTTGCCAACATTGGGCCAACTCGAATTCTTCCCAATCTCTATCTTGGCTGCCAACGAGATGTCCTCAACAAGGTGGGTGCTTCCAAACGCCTTTCTGTATGTGTCTGTTGGTAGCAGCTGGAGAAGCAGCGGTGGAACATTCTGTGATCCCAGAGAGGAGGAGCACTGTTAGTGTGCTGGCGACGAGCTCCCTCCCACAGGGGTCGCATTATCTTTCTAGTATTGCTTTGGTATTACTTATTGCCATAGAACACCCAAACTGTTGCTGTTTGTTTTCCTCATAGGTCCAAGAAACTTGAAATAAGATTTCTTTCTTTCTTTCTTTCTTTCTTTCTTTCTTTCTTTCTTTCTTTTTTTTTCATACCATTAGCTTTGTCTTCTTGGGCTGGTAGTTTTTGTATTACTGTAATTGGGTGTCCTACACTTACAATGCATTCAGGTCAGGCCTGGATTGAGGAAGGTCCTCATGGTGACAGCTGGCAGCAGAATGGGGAGAGATGATCAAAAATGCCAAGGACAGAGACTCAGAAGTGTGCTCTGTCAGTTCCGCTGTGTTTGAAGCTGGCTGGAACAATTTGCAGAGAGATGATTATGGATTCTTGCTGAAAAGCTGTGGATAGCACTGAATAGGCATAACCTGTAGAAACGCAGATTGGATGGAGGCTTCTGTGCTAATGCACAAACACAACAATAGTAGAACTATGATCTGATTCTGCAGCTTACATGCTCTTAAGCAGGAATGCTAAAAAATAAAAGTTCTCTTCCTGTTTGGAAAAGAGAATTTTCTCTAAAAATGTCTTAATTTACGGTGTTACTAATTGAAGAAGCATGTGGCGATCTGAATGCAGCTCTTGGTGATCTGAGAACGCTGCCTGATGAAGGCAGCGGTTACCCTTAGTGTCTTCTGGAGTGATGGGAACCGTCAGACTGGCTGGAAAGGACATAGTGGTCTTCTTAGCAAATAGAAAACAAATGTTTTAGGAGGAAAAATATTGTCTTTGTGCATCGGTGAGGCATTTTCACTGTTTTTACAGCACAGCCCCTGCTTCTGTAGGATTTGCCTCCACAGTGTGTTATTAATATTTTTGCTTTTTACTGAGATCTGCCTACTTGAGATTTGACAGTTTATGTATGAACAGAACCCCTCTGGTGGGGTCACAGTGCCTTTGAGCATGTGGCTTACTATTAATCCTGTTTTACAGATTAGTAAACTGTGTTACAGAAAGCAAAATTAATTTTCTAAAGTTACATGTGTTCCTATAGCAAAGCTAGAGATGTTTGGCTTCTTTAATCCAGGTTAAAAACAATTAAAACACTAGTTAAGGTTTCTGTTTATTCTTGGTAAACCTTAACCAGTTAGTACAAATAGTTACAGAACATTGTATTATTTATTTTTGACAATGACACATTGAGTTTTCTCTGTTCCGTTTTCACCCTAACAACTGGGTGAGGACTCATGGGGTGAAGGCAGTCAGCCCAGAACCTGGATTGAGAATCGGGAAATGCACAGCTTTCTGGTGTCACTTGCTGCATGGACTTCTAGGTGTGCAGTAAACAGAGAATGTAGAGTCTTTGTGGGTGGAGAATGGACTTAGAGAAGTTTATGGGACAATAGTTTCAGCAGAAGTCACTATGGAAGACTGTCACTAAGGTGTGGAAGAGAGAGAGCTGAAGACGCATTGGAAAGCTGAGCAACTTCGAAACACTGGACAGGAATTTGTTTTTGACTATGAGGTTCATTGTTGACAAGAATTTTTGAGCTGAAGATTTTAGAGATTTAGTTAGCCACTTTTATTTTGCTAGGTGAGAAAATTGTTATTCCAGAAGTGTTAAATGAACTCACAACATGACCCCGTTTTGGTTTTAGTTGTTTAAGTTTCATTTTTCTTAGGGTCCATAAGCCCTGGTTAGTCTTGAGCTTTTTTAGCTGAGGCTGGCTTTCAATTTCTGATCCTCTTGCTACTACCTTCAGAAGGCTGGGATTACAGATACATGGCACAGATTTACTCTTTCATAAGCATCATTGTCTTAATTAGGGTTTTTATTGCTGAGAAGAGACACCATGGCCATGGCAACTCTTATAAAGGAAAACTTTTAATTGGGTGGCTTACAGTGCCTAGGTTTAGTCCATTGTCATGATGGTGTGCAGGCAGACATGGTGCTGGAGAGGCAGCTGAGAGTTCTACAGCTTACACAGGCAACAGGAAGTGGTCTGTCTCACTGGCCGTGGCTTGAGCATGTGTGTTGGGGTTAGGGAGATAGCTTGATCAGTAAAGTGCATGCAGCACATTTATGAGGATTTGAATTCCATCCCCACCACCTATGTTAAAAATGGAGTACTGGTCTGTGTTTATAATTCCTGCATGGAGGAGGTGCAGACAATTAGATCCCTGGAGTCCACTGTGCAGCCAGCTTAGTCTTCTCAGCAAGCCCTAGGTCCTGCTAAGTAAGAGACCCTACCTAAAAAAATAAAGTGGATTGCTATTGAGGAGTAACACTTAAGGTTGACCTCTGGCTTCCACATGCGCATGTGAGCATGCTTATATACACACAAACATATGCACAGTACACGCATGTGTGCACACGCATTCATGTGAATATGCATATGCACACACAAAATAAAATGCCACCAAAATATGTTAAAAGCACAGCTATTTTCTTAGGAGGCTCATAGTTAATATAATGGAGGGAGTATAATGCAATGCTAAGTTGTTGAAGATAAGTTGACCCCAAATTTCAATTACATGCTACTATATTTAAAGTGCTTGGCTCCTAGGAATAATGGTTTACATCTGTAATCCCAACATGCACCAGCCTGAGCTATATAGTGAGGTCTTCAAGCTCTGACTGTTTACATTGTTGTGTTTAATCCACATAGGATTGGGATGTAGCCTGGCCCCAAATTGTTAAGTCATTCACCCAAGATCTTGTCATGGGCTTCAGTGGCAGAGATCTTAGCTGTTTTCTGGAAAATGGAATTCTCTGTATCAGGCTGTACAGAAGGACTGGCAAATCCCATCAGTCTTTGGGATCATACTTGAGTTCTGTCTCCTTCTGGTTTTTTTTTTTTTTTAACAACCAATTCTTCATCAGTGATTTTCAGTAAAAATATAATACAAGTCACATGCATAATTTAAAATATTCTAGTAGCTTTATTTAAAACGTTGACTACAATTTAGAGTTAATTTTAATTAAGTCATTCACTTAAGTCAATATTTTAATAGTCAGTATAAAAATGTGTTTTATGTTCTTTTCATTGTATTAAGTTTTCGAGGTCTGCCATGTGTTTTATACTTTACAGCTCAGTTTGGCGTGGCCACACTTTAGACGGTAAGAGCTATATGAAGCCTCAGATATCTTAGTGGACATTAAGGTCCAACTGCTCGCATGAACTAGTTACTTCTCACATTCTAGAGGTGTGCCGTCTGTTGAAAACCATGAGAACTCACTGGCTGCAAAGGATCCTTTTTCTTTCCCTTACACTGTACTGTTTGTTTCTTATAATCTGTTCTCTTGTTCTCTGGTCTTTACAGTTGAAATGAGAAGCGTTGATTGTACTGTATTAAAGTCATTGCTGATGCCTTTTTCTTATCTGGACTGAGAGAAGTTTGAGATTCTCCGCTATTTGAATGATTATTTTTCTTTTCTCTTATAACTCTGGAACCTTGTGTGTGCTGGGCATGTGTTCTGCCGCGGAGCTGGTTGTCCAGCCCTCAAGTTCTTTGATTAGTTTCCTCCTTTATCCCATAAAAGTAAAAGAGTGCTGATAAAATTACCTACTGTGAGTAGCCTAAAACTGTTGTGTCTGGAGCGACCCACTGTCAGTAAAGTATCTGCCATCAGCGTGTGTGTGTGTGTGTGTGTGTGTGTGTGTGTGTGTGTGTTCTGTTTGTTTGTTTTCTGAGACAGTATCTCTCTATGTAACAACTCTGACTGTGCTGGAACTCTATAGACCAGGCTGACCTTGAACTCAGAGATCCCTCTGCCTCTGTCTCCCAGGTGCTGGGATTAAAGACTTGCTGTTACCTGGCTTGCTGCTTTATGTGGTGCTTTTTGTTTTATTGTGGCCTTTTAACATGCAAAATTGATTTTTCCCACACTGTTTTCTTATGCTCCTGGTAGGACTTGTGCTGACGTATTTCTTTTGTGGAGGTGCTGGTTAATAGCCTGTACACAGCATTGTCAAGGGCTGATTTGGGGGATTCTCAGAGAACGGTGTGAAGATGACCAGATTATCACTAAGAATATTGTAGGTCCTTGTGTAGAACACCATGCAGTGTTCATTCTGGCTGTTTAGAGGAGAACAATAATTCACACGACCCGGCAACGCAGCCTGACTTGCAGTGCTGAAGCAGCACACACGGTGGCTGAGAGACAGCTTTGGGTAGAAACAGTTTTCATGTCAGTTCTCCACCTAGCCACTCTGTCACGTTGAGTTGCTAACCCTTGGTTTCTTCCCCTGAAAACTGATAATTTCCAACTCTAGTCCCCATGTAATGCTCAGATGAAATGGTGGGGGCACATGCAGTGAGTGGTCTGAGAAAGGGTGGGGGAGGAGGAGGTAGAACTTGAGGTCAATGTTGAATGCAAATTGACTTCAGAAAAATTAAAGTAACATTAATCAGAGGTGTAATGCCTGTATGACTCAGTGAGATCTTCTGCTCTCAGACTAGCTGAACATAAAGAACTTGTGTGTGTAGGGAGACAGTCTTAGTAAGGCCATCTTTTCATCAGTATCCATAAGACTCCATGATCTTATGAACAGATTATAGACTTAGTCCTAACTATAGAGAGAGTGTATTTCTTACTCTAGGACATAAACTTTTTTTTTTATTGAGAAAAGGAAAAAAAAACAAGTTTCCGCCTCCTCCCAGCCTCCCACCCATCTCCCCCTCCTCTCACCCTTCTCCCCTTCCCCCCACTCCTCTCCCCCTCCCTCTCCAGTCCAAAGAGCAGTCAAGGTTCCCTGCCCTGTGGAAAGTCCAAGGTCCTCCCCCCTCCATCCATATCTAGGAAGGTGAACATCCAAACTGGCTAGGCTCCCACAAAGCCAGCACATTAAGTAGGATCAA